AAGCTGAAAAGTTGGCCTGGCCACGGTAGGAATCGAACCCGTGACCTTTGGGATTCTAGTCCAATGCTCCACCAACTGAGCTATGAGGTCAAGTCTGTTCGAGTTGGTGATATTTGAGAACTGAGTCTAGTTCCTTCGATATCAATGTAGTCTACTATAGTCTGAGTACATAACACGAACACACACAAAACGTATCATATCTTAAAATACATTGATGTCGAAGAAACTCAGTTCCAAAATATCACCAACTCGAACCGACTTGACCTCGTAGCTCAGCATTGAACTAAAATCCCAAAGATCGCGGGTTCGATACCCACCGTGGTCATGCAGGCAGCTACTTTTCAAGCTGCCCGGTGTGGATGCACACTCAGAATAACATCACAAATATCAACTTCTTTTACCGTTACTAAATGAACTACATTTACCATAGGTGTACGAGTTAAGTCGGGCAAGACTTTGCTTAAAAATTTGGCAATTTGCTTGGCCTGCTCGCCTCGGTATAATTAATGTATTTGACATGATATGTATTCAACTCGCCTATTGGACTGTGGAATGTTACAATTGCATTAACACTTTCACTGCTCATCGCATGGCCGTACTTGATATCTTTCACTTCTGAGTCGCTTAATCGTTCCATGTAAAACTTAAGACAATCTTCCGTAGTTTTCTTGGAAATGCCTTCAACGAAAACTTTGTCATTTTCAGAAATTTCCACCTTCTTTCGTCGTCTCAGTGTTAGTGCAGATTCTTCAAGAGAATGCGGGCTTGTTTCCAAAGCCTTCTTAACATCTTAAAAATAAGAAAATGGCCGGCATCTTAAAATCTTTTAAATAAACAGTCCTGTTTAATCTGCTCGAATTATTTCGATGTTCTCTCAAGTTAAGGCCAATACTTTGCATTAGGGACCTTCAGCAGCGAGTAGTGATTTGATCGCGTGTGAGGAAGTCGTAGTCGTTCTCGTTTCTGTTTTATAGCGATAAATAAACAACGAGAAAAATTCTCTATAACCTAAATCTCATGCAGGTTAAAATCCCAAGCAAGATTAGCCCCTTCTATGAGAAACAATACACGAATTAAGCTGGTTCCCTACAATTTTTTAATTTTTTTTTATTTGGATATGATTTTCTGGACAATTATTACTTGTGTAAAAACGGAGAGTATCTGACTAGCATAACACAATAAGTGAAGAGCAGGGCGCTTATATACCCTGGTATATATAAGCGCCCTGGTGAAGAGTTCGGAATTTTTTAAACACCACTTCTAACAGCCGTTGATATGTCAACAATGGCGTCACAACATGGCGGATATTTTATGTTTGAGTAATACTGGATTCCCCTTATTACATTTTCGTAACGCTTTGCATTGTGGTTCTAGTGGTATTACTGATATTCAAGATGGCTTATTTTTTGTCCTGACCCGTGCAAGAACTTTTAAAAAAGCTAGGGTCAGGTGCGCGATAGCCAACAGCAAAATATTCGCGAAAACATTTAATATTTTCATTCGTGGCCGTTATTTTTGTCAGTGATACCACTATAACCACAATGCAAAGCGCTACGAAAACGTAGTAAGGTCAATAAGGGGAATCTAGTACCATGGATAATAAAATAAATGGATTGGAAAGATTGGAAACTTCTGACGTCATTGACTGCATCCTTGTTGAAAAACGTGACGTCACGCGTATTGCGAATGTTACCAAAGTTCTCGGCATATTTGTTGTTTTGCTATATTTTCCACTTTAAAAGGGTGATCTTGAAGCGTAAACTGGTCTAATTGTTTTAAAAACATGCCTAAGCCACGACAAAGTGTTGTATTTTGTTTTGTATTTTTTTACATTTGTAGCTACGAAATTGGCGTCACAAATTTTAACGAAATTTGCGATGTATTTTTCACTGTTTAATGCTTGAAATATTTGCTAAAAATTGACTGGGAAACTAAAATGTTTAGCTGTATTATTGCTAAACATGCCGTTTTTGAGAATTTGATTTTCAACTAGGTTGAGGCATCCAACCATGCCATCAATCCCAGTAAAAACATTAGGTCACGTCAGCTAGTTTCCTATCCATTTATTTTATTATCCATGCTAGTACGTACGTATTGGATGGCTGCTTGCTTTAACTGCTCGCGGAACTTGCCGAGCACGCGCAGTTGATCTTTTTTGCCCGCTCGCCTGAAAAAAGTGGGTACATGAAAACGTAAGTTTCTGCAATGTTTACGAGACCAGTTACAGCTCTGTGTGTGTCTACTCTGTGATCAAATCAAGAAATGTTTGCTATTTCGCTGTCGTCGTGCAGTCGTTATAATGCAAATTTTAAATTTGACCAATCGGTGTTCGCTATTCATGACAGTCCGCCATATTTTTGAGATCAGTGAGGATGACCATCCACCCAACACCATTGGTCACCCACGCCCGCGATCATTGATGAACTTCAGACTTCGCTTAGTCTAATTGCTTTCGTTTTCCCGGGTGTAAATAGCCGGGCGGAATTGTTGGGATCTAGTTTCATTTTCTTGCCGTAATCAATATCATTTCTGAAATTGCCTTCAATGCTGCCCTGTAATACTGCAATACTTACTGAAACCCAGTTATAACACATAAAGACAATTTCGTTTTCCTACCTTCGGCGTTAGCAAACGTTATTGATGCATTCCCACTTCCTTTAATATATTCTATATTGTCAATGTCTCCTCCGCGTCTTGACGACGAGAAATAGTTCTTTAATATGTCTTTTGAAGTGTTTGCGTTTATTCCCGTCACTTCGATGATCAGAGCTTCGTATTTGTCCATATTTTGTACGCTTATTTTGATGTATTTGACTACAGGTTTGTCGCATGTTTGTAGTCCAAGAATGTGTATGATTGTAATTTGTAAGGGCTTTCCCCTGACCCCTGACCTTGAATTCCTATGAAATTCAGTAGCTTTATGGGCCGACTACATGGAACATTTTCAACCCAGGGGTTGAACACAGCCTGGTTAACCGGGTTGAATTTTTTTGCGATCACATGGACGATTTCAACTCCGGGGTTGAAATGCTATACGTTCGCGGCATTGATTCAGTTTGTTTTCTTGTAATAAATAGTCCCCTACTTGGAACCGAAAATGAAAGTAAAAATAATTCGGCTCATTGCAGTCTCTTTCGCTCATGTGAAAATTGTAAATGGGATTAGTTCAAAGTTTAATGGTGAAATAATACGAGCAACACTACTACCATACAATTTGCAACAAAAGCTGATTGCAACCAATGTTGATCAAGTTGGCACGCATATATAGGTTACATGTAGTAGATTTTTTATCATTCTCGTCCCCAGGCTATTACCTCTGTGCTATTATGTTCGCGGCAACTGATGACTGATTATAACGATAATTTATATGTTACTATCCGTATTTCTTTTTTACGACTCGTACCCGATTTGTTTTACCTAGTACCCTAAACGTACCACTTACTCTGCAATCTCGCGTTACAACTCGGCATTTATATTTTACGATTAGTAAAGCAAGTTGTCGACTCGTATGAATCGACATTTCCAATTGTCCACTCGTACCAATAGTAAAACAAGTTCTACAAATTTTACAACTCGTGTCGTTCCATCGACTGTTGTCAATCAAACATACCAGCAAATGAAACTAGTCATTCAGCTTCATTTTCCCATTCAAACCTTCCAAAACTAAATACGTACTGAATCTCATTTCTCTGCGCGGTCTAACTATGCACAATAAAATATGCAATCCAGAGTGTTGGAAACTTGGAAAGGCAGGTCTTAGAAGTTCAAGAAGGTTCAAATATTTATCGTACGTATATCAATATTCATCGTATCAATATTGGTTGCGGGATTGAGAGTGATTCATTACAATGGAATCAAGGCGCGGCGGATGTCCCCCCCCCATTTCGAACATTCATAAGAATAAATTCTATTTCGACGATCATATAATTACATCTGTTGGATCGCTCTATCCCTCCACTTTAGTATTTTAACTGATTTCATCAATTAGCGTTTAAGTTATGGGGTTAAATTCATGGAGGGACATGCCCTTCCCACCGCCCACGTTTCGCTCGAGGTGCCGTTTCTGCCAGATATGACAATGAGATGAACGACACAGTGCTCCCCCAATCGTAAAGTATCAGTTGATGTTAATTCAACGGTTGCTTTCAATGGCAGGTTTGAAGGATCAACAGTCAAAACATATCCAATTGCCTGACTCTGTAAGGAGTGAGCCATTAGATATCCTACGAGAAGGGGTAGAGTAGAATTTGAAATATATAATCTTGCAAGCATTTAGGGAAAGAAAAAAAATTCTGCAAGTACTTGGAACATACAGAAAGTTCCTGGAAAATTTCTACTCGGCTTCTACACCGTAAAAACACGTTCAACAAAGCTCCAAACTTAAAAAATTGTTGCAAGGAAAATTTCTCTTCCCATGATACTGTATATACTGGTCCACCCCTAAGGAAACGCATCAAGACTAGATCAGGTCAGTGTTGTTTATCCTTACATGCCAAAGACGGACACGCAAAAACTATTATCTTACCATTCTTTCCACAGTAAGCTCTGTTAAAACCAGTTGTATTAATATTCTCCACGGCCGTCTTTGCAGTTCCGTGAAACAATTTCATTTCCACCATTGCTCTTTTTCTTTTGCCCTTCATAGATTTGATGCAATCGAGGATTTTGAATTATTTCAATTTTTACAACTTCGGCGTTCGGCAGTGTCTTCGTCAGTGACGCTTTAAACATGTCATAGATTTTGGTCGTATTCCATATCGTGTTTATCAATGGTGAACCAGTAGTGGACGTCGCTTTTTTTGCCAGTGTAGGACTGCATGGCGATAAAACATATAATACTTTTTATTTGTGGTAACACCACGTAAATTTATTACTGCAAACCTTTCGATCTGTAAGCCCGGATCTTCATCAGTGCTAATAATATGTGACTTGTTCAATTCACACGTGATCGATTAGCTTTGTAGATTTAATTAATTGCATAGCGTTTTGGCATAGCAAACACTCTACGAACTCGTTGGGTTTAAGCCTGGTTCACATTAATCGGCGATTTTCTACGATCCATTATCTGTGAGCAACGAAGAAGAAAATGCACATTTCATGCATCAATGACCGAGCTGTAGCTACAAGTTTATGTATATATCAGATAGATTTTCTGGTGTGCAGGTTGTGTATAATATATATGCTCACTTGAGCATTCTAATTCAATCAAGTCAAGTGCAAAACACATCTTTCATGTTCAACTATTGAAGATATACCTCGCTATATCATGATCATAATATTATATTACTCCATGATGATTTTTTCATTGTCACCTTAAGACAGCGTTGTAAGTTCATATTTTTAGTCGTATTATTATTAACACAGGCGGCCTGGGCAGGGGGCGCCCCCCCCCCCCACCCCCCAATAATTTCCTCATCCATGAGGATTCTTTTATACTTTCTTTCTTGCACAAGCTATTGCAATCAACTTATATTATCCGTGACAGTCTGTTGATTGAATACAGAGAAAACACTGTTTCAAAACAAGGAGGATGAAGTTGGAAAAAGTTATAAATTTTAATACAAGAAATTCACAACTTTAATAAAAATCCCCCCCCCTCCCCTCCCCTCCCCTCCCCAATGGCAATGTGTTTCCGACGGAACTTATAAAACAATTTTGTGCATAGTTCATTTATTGTCGTTTATAATCATGATGGTTATATATACCACAAAGAAATGTGATACATCAACTAACGTGCTTCCACACTGTATATTCTGTAATTCCTTTTGCAGCAAGTATTTCCTGCACTCTCCTCAGGTAGTCTGGGTCCGGATAACCAGAGCTGAAATGAAATTTAGAATAAGATAGTTACTGGTGGTAACAATCGGTAAAATACTCAAAAATTCTTAACTATTTGAATCTCGAAATTTATTTGTTTTAAATGTATTTGAACTAAAACCTACTAGGGCTACACCAATACACCTGCTTAAAGTTTGCGAAGTTTGGAGAATATTATATCAATCAGGGGCATATTTTAAACTTTTGCAATGGGTGGCCAACACCAAGATTAGGGTCCAGTGTGGTCTCCACAGAGTAATAATTTGGTCACTCAAGGTAAGGTTAGGGCCCAGTTTGAGCCATTAACTAGTAGAGCCTGTGCACGGGGGCAAATGTCCTAACAATTGATAAATCTTCTGCTACATTGTCAACAAAAAATCACTAAAGGCAAGTTCAATTTCAACCAATATGTAGAGCTGTCTGAGCTGTATATTAATATAGGATGTGTACACAAATTTGCAAAATCAGCTCCGATTGAATTTACAAATGTGTGTTTTTCCAATAACTTAAATTTGTGTTCCAACAAGAAAAATAAACTAGTCCAATTCACCAAGACCGATAAGACGTCTGTTTCCCGTCTTTATAGTACAGACAAACTAGTACTATCCAACAAAGCATACTTGTTCAAGTTTGTCCACAAATAAATCGTCGTTTAAAGAAACAAATACGTACTCTGCAGGTCCTCCTGTCCTCGAGGTTTTGTGAGGAATATCATTCCATACAACACAATCATCACTTCCCGCTGTTGTTGATCGTCCGATTGTGAACGTCAATTTCTGTTCGAACGCTTTCTTTAAAAGATAAAGAACTTTTTCCCCTTCTTTGTTATCAGGTAGATAAGCATATTCGTTTATTCCCGTGTATGGTTTTCCAGGATTAGGATGGTCTGGGCCTTGCGTCCCATTTGGAAACTTGTAATGTATAACAATAGTGTTGCACGATCCAAAACCAGGAAGTGATAAGGGGTGATTATAATTTCCAAATATCTCTCCTGGAGGTTGATCTCCAATCAAAGGACCATAAACTTGTGAACAAACTGGACACTTCTTCTGATATTTGAATGCCTCGTCAATACAGCCAGCACAAAATGAATGGCCACATTTACTTAAGGTTTTCTTGTCAGTGAAGTCACACAGACAAATTGGACATTTGTCATCCCTGGAACCGACTTTCTGATTGGTGTTCTTGCTCTGGTCTGAAATGATAGAAATTCCGGATTTCAAAGTCAGGAGTTTGTTCTAATCCAATCTGAGCATTTGAAGTTAATGAGGCTAATTTTAAAGTGCATATGACATGAAATTTCTTATTTTCTTAAATGAAAGAACTCTTTAAGCTGTAGTGTAACTTATTTTTCAGTTTCTTGTTTTTGTGCTTTGTTCCCGAGATATTTCAATTTGTTTGATATGTAAATGAGTGTGAATATGTCCGTTAATTTATGACGTCATGTTGGTTGCAAGCTCAACTTACACTGGTTATAAATGTATTAAATGTAAAACTGAAGATATCAGTTCATGTTTTTCTCCAGTATTTTATCACATTTACCAGGTGAGTGAAGTTTGAAGTTATCATCTTGGATAATAGCAGTGATATTCAACCATTTTGAGGAGCTTGCAACCAGTGACGTCAAATATTAGCGGACATATTCACACTCATTTACATATCAAACAAATTAAAATATCTCGTGAACAAACCATAAACACAAGAAACTGAAAATAAGTTACACTACAGCTTAAAGAGTTCTTTCATTTAAGAAAATAAGAAATTTCATGTCATATGCACCTTAAGGACTTGAAATAGCTGATAATGGCTGAATCTCATTCCCAAATAACTATACTAAAAGTGAAGCGAATAGACTATTCTGTGTGTTTTTTCACTCCTGGCACCAATAGCATCGTTTTCATGTCGTTATTTCCTCATGTTTCTTGCACAATATGGTTAAGGATGGGTTTGTGATTGGGCTCAAGATGAAAGAGAAACATATTCGTGCAGAAAACATGGGGATACAACCTTCATGTGCGCATGTCATGCTAAAACACGCGTATACCCATCAAGTTTTACAAATGATTTTGTTGAATAAAAACACTGAGAAATGTTCTACTATTTGGTGGCTCATTACGCAATGACGTCATTTTTTCTGCACTGCATAATTATGATCTCGAAACTGAATTATCTCACCAAGAAAGCATGTAAACAAATATTTGTAAAAAAAAGTTACGTTACAGTTTTTACGATTCTTTCACTTTTACGATTCTTTCACGTCATGTAAAGGCCATGTTACACGAAGTAATTGACGTTTCCGGTAATTACGTCACAACTACATTGTTTTCAACTTAAGACCACCTTAAATGAAATAGATTTTAAGTTCGTTTCTCACGGGCTATGGTCAGAGAAGCAGAACATCCTTCGTGAACACATGCATCAAAAAGAATTTTGGATTTTAACTATCAAAAATAAATTAAATTATTGCATCCCTAATTTGTTTTTATGCATGTATTGAAGGAGGATGTTCTGCTCCTCTGACCATAGCCCGCGAGAAACAAACTTAAAATCCATTCCGTTTAAGGTGGTCTAAGTTGAAAACACTTCAAAACAGTGTTAGTCGTGACGTAATTACCGGAAAGGTCTATTGTCGCTGCGAGTTAACTGCAGTCTAATTTCTAAAAGTTCGGACACAGAGCAATCTTATTTTTAAAACTGCTTCGAATTGATCCCTACTACCTGAAAAGTATGATGAGAACTTCAACGTCGAATTAGACGACTAATTAGAGCTTTCGCTCGAAACGTCGAAGATTTCTTTGTATTTTTCAAGAAATTACATCCCTACCAATCCGGAGATTTCTTATTTTTGCCACCACCTATACTGACTGTATTTACTGTCGAAGGCTCTGGAATCCAGGGTAATGTATTTCACTTCCTCATATTTGTCATTCTCTTTTCATTTATTTGCACATGTGTGCTGTACCAGCCTATCAGGTGATGAAAAGTTCGGCAGAGTGAAATGCAGGGCGAGTTCTCAATTTTTCCGCGAAACGTTTTGCCGCATAACATGACGCCAGACATAAACCGCATCAAAGCCCGTCTGCGCTCCTTCGCCCAGCGGCTACGCTCGTGTTCCCAGATCCGCCATGTAAAGTGTAGTGAAATGCAGTCTCATCGTAATATTAAACCCTAAGAAAACTAAAGCCTCTGCGGAGGAGAGAGCATCAAAGCCATCTTATTTACATTTAGAGGAAAATGCTATAATGAATTTCTAGACATTACTCCCAGATTTAGAGAATACCACATGTGGCCTTTGGATTTAAACTGGGTTTGCCACCTTGACTTCCTAATATACAACTAAAAATTGATGGTCACTAATTGAGAGGTATAATTTTAACCAAACAGTAAAAATATTAAACAATATATAACACTCTTTACTGGAGCTAATAGAAACAGTATGTTTAGGGCTCCAGAGATGATAGATGTTTCCCAGGGCGAATTCATTCACTTTCACCCACTTGGCTGAATAAAAACCAACTCCAAGACAAACGTTTTCCTCATGTTGTGTTTTCTGTCACTGTATTGTAATAACTAACCCGTAGGTGTTAAAACGAATGACTTCTACAGGTACAGAATGCTGGAACCTTTGGATTTAGATTGAACTTGTTACCTCGATTCTTCACCTTTTACATCACAGTATGCTTATACCAAGGAACAAACTGGGTATTCCTCAAATGCCTGATCGATGCAATTGATAGAAAATGAGTGACCATATTAATTTCGCCCCCTTTTCCTGACCCCTCCCCCCTCCCCCCAGTATGGACTGGTTACTTACCTGTATCTTTCTTATCTTCATTAACCTCTCCTAAACTGTTTGCCAGCCCTTTCAAAATCGCTTCGTTTATTGGTTCTGTGCCAGTAGAGGAAGTGTAGCTCAATTCTGCAACGGGTATAGGTGCTTTGAAATACTCTTCGCGATGTGTTAAGAGATTATTTGCGTTATCCAACATCATTTTCTGAGAGGAAATTATTTCTTCTTCTGAGCCTTGGTCGACCAACTTTTTGGAAAGTTGAAACGACGTTTTTATATTCTCTACATATAACTTTGTTTCTTCTGCCTGTCTGTCCAAATTAGCTCGGTTGCCTTTGTGCATTTCATCAACTTTTTTACAAAGACTTGCAGCTTTTTGATCCAACATTTCAATGACTTTCTTCGCCACGAATTCTTTTCTTTGAGCAATTTTACTTTTGATATTTTCGACATCGCGATCAACTTGTTGTGTCGTCAGCATTAATTGTTCAAGAAATGCATTGCCTTCAGTTAAAGCGTCTTCCATTGTTTTGCCATTTGAAGCAAGAAGTTCCTTATAGTTGTTCGCTATATCCTTGACGAGAACACACGAATGACCTTGCTTGGCGTGTTTAAAATCCATGCAATCCCTACAAATCAGTTGGTCGCAGGTTTCGCAGTAAACTTTTAATTTCTTGCCCGAATGTTCATTGCAGTACATGTTGTCGTTGATTTTCTTGCGATTTTCTGGCTTTGATAACTCTTCCATCGTTAGAACAGAATGACCGTTGTTGGCTCGATAATTGTCGTGGCCCGTCAAACATTCTCGGCACAGGAATTTTTCACAGGTGACACAACGAGCGACCGAGTAGCTTTGATTACAATTATGTGAACAAAGAACACCGATTCCACGATCGAGTACGGCTATCGCTTTTACCATGTTGCAGATGAAATGGTTCCGTGGCATGTCGGCGACATGTTTGGCGGGGTCGAGTATAAAAGTTGCACGACAATTTGGACATGGAAACTCTCGAATAGGTGGATCGCTAGGTGCTTTGTCGCGGCATGTTTCCACAATGCCTTCCAAACAATCTTTACAGAACGAATGGCAGCAAGGAAGGGTTCTGGGGTCTGTTAATACCTCCAGACATACAGTACATTCTAGATTTTCTTCAAGTTGATTGATTGGGTCGGTCTTTAAAGCACGAGCCATTTAAAACGAGATAAATTTCGGAAAGAAATTATTCCACACGTCGGATTTAGTCTGAGCTTCGGCAATGATGTGAAACGAAGTCCGACAATTTATTGTTTTATAATCACATGAGTGAACTTTCAATATTGGTCCTTGAAGACGAATTCTTGGTAAACTCTTGTTCCTAGTATCAAATTACAATTCTTATAAGGCCTTGACAGAAATGACGTCAATGATGTGAACGAGATCCGTGACTATGACTGAAATTTCCAGTCATTCTGCAGTTTTTACACATCATTCGATGTCGTTTAATTTTTCTGGGACTAATTGAAATGCTTTGAGCCTTTGACGTTTTGCTTAACACAATGTTTCGTACACAATTTAATTTTTAACAATGTTGGAAAAGTTTATTAAACAAAACTAGCCGTACTTCAATTTAACAAATAAATTCATTCCGAAAGGTCCCTCATTTAGAACGTGATCAAAATGAAGAAAACATTATGGAATATGGTATATTTTCCGTTCTGAAAAACAAAGCTCCTGCAAATTTGTACAGTCTCTTTGAATTTGTTAGCGACATATAATGTCCCAACATGCAAGATCGTCAATTATGGATTTAGGAGTTCCCAAATTAACTACTGGGTTTGGGAAATCGAGGATATCTTATACGGAAGCAATGTTATCTAACTCTATCCCAAACCACTTAAAATTAAGTTTCCCAAACAACTCACTGACAAAATTTTAGGTTAAGCTACTTTATCTTGAACAAATAATTATGTTCTGCACCTAGAAGACTTTGCTTGTAAAACTTGTAGATATGAATTTACCTAAGACTTAATCTATAATTTTCCATATTATATTATATGTAAAGGGTATAGATTTATAATATTGTATACACATATTTTAACTTAACTAGTGTACGTAGGCCATCTGCATGGAAGAATACTTTTTTTATGTACTATTTCAGTAAAACACGCGTAGGGGTGTTTTATCATATTTAAAATTCGAGTAGGGAGTATGAGAATTTTAAATATGATAAAACACCACTACCATAACGTGACTTCAACGAGCATTGTCATATATTGTCTGCAGAATACAGTTGATCGAATGAGCTTCCAAACAATATGCAATTTAAGCCTGGTTCACATGCACTGGTCGTAATTCATCGACGAACTATTGTATTCTTTTCCGACAGACAAATAATTTTATACGCCAATGACCACAGACAATGGAAAAAGTCTCCGACTCTCACGACCAGTAACAGTGTGAATCAGGCATGAACCCACAACACTAGCAAACACCTATCCACTCGGGTTCTGCATGCAAATTAGTCGTGGTCAGGGTTGGTAGGTTTGCTGAATAATTAGGCCAAACACCGTCACACTAGGCCTTTGTCTTGGCCTTTTGTTTTCTTTGTTTTCTAAACGGCACTACGTTTTCTAAACGATTTGGCCTAATTATTCATCTAACTTACCAACCCTGGTCGTGGTTACCGGTCTTGCACAGATGCAAGATTTACTGCATGCACAATATTTTGATCGTTTCAAACGAGATATTCATGGTCTTCATGGAAAAGTGTTGTTAATGATCAAGCAGGAAAGGAATTATTAAGGTTAGACATTTTGAGCTTACATTTCCAAAGTAATAGATGTATAATTTAAGTAGTTTTACGTTTGCTGTGTTAATAATATGCATTGAACAGTTCTTTCCATTACTAAAGAACTTTTGAGTTTGCTTCTTAAACCGCGTTAGACATACATTTAGCAGTTCTCCTCAGAATTTCGTATTTATTTGATCGACATCTTTCTCAGTTATAATCTTCATGGAGACCTCGAGCTCGTATTTATATTATAGTCCATACAGTTCAACTTTGTACAAACATGAGATTTTATATGAAACTACATGTGCCTCGGTATAGAATCTCATGTTAGATGACATTTTATTCGGTGTTAATGAATAGAACGGTATTTCCGTTGGGATGGCTATATAAAGTAGAGCATATTTTGTCAGGTATATAAAGTCTCTGCACGTGGTCAAATATGCTCATGTTATTGCTATTGGGCCGATTTGCCTAATGAATAATAGTGAGTGTTTTAAAGATGTTTTACCTTCCCTCAAGGCTCAATAAAGTATATGAAGACTTTGAGAGCAAACAGGCTTCGACTCTCGTAAAAGGCAGTGAGCTGTCTCATTATTTCATCTCAGTCGTACCAAGAGACTATGCAGTTATATTCCACCAAAACGGCACGTTGTCGGTTTCTGGAGTAACACTGTACCAATAAGAGATTGGCCTTACTGAAACTCTACATAAACGAACAACATTCCGGACAAAACGGGTACATTTATCCTGCAGTATAAATATAAATTTAGTGTGATGTTGAGGAAAGGAAATCGTGATTGTGTGTGGTTAAATGTGAACATCATTCTCTTCATTGGTGCCTTTAATGGTAGTCAATTGATTGAATAAAAAAAAAACACAAGTAATTTAAAACGAGGTAAATTTTAGAAATAAAGCATTTCACACATCGACTCTATCTTAGATCCTGCAGAGGTTTTATTGTTTTATAATCAGATGACTGAACTTTCAGTATTACAATCTTTATATGCAAAGATCCTTACTCGATTGCTGAAATGACGCGAGAGACTCTGTAAAGAAGTTTATTGCTTTATAATCGCATGACTAAAAATATAGATTCCTGCTAAACTCTTGTTTCAATATATTTCAATTTCTAATATCCTATATGCAAAATTTATTGCTGGTATCACACTTCCATATCACTTCCAGAGTTCTATATTGCGTAGAAATTAGATGATAAATATTCCTGTGTTCTTTTTCTACTTTTTATTTGAACTAATTTTAGTTTTGAAGATATAACTGGTTTTAAAGTTGCAACATTTGAAAAAAGTTTTACTAATACAGTCAAAGTTTTACTGATATATGCCTATAGTTGCAGAGTACATCCATATTTCCGCGTTGTTACAACAGCGAACGCGCAGTGATTTTACTTTTTTTGCGGGGGGGGGGGAGGGCGGGGCGGGTGTTGAGATGTTCGAATCTTCTTATGAGGGGTCTGGGGGCATTCCTCCCCAGAAAATTTTGAAAATTACAAACCGGGAAAGCGCATTTCCAGCTTTTTCCACAACAATTTTGTTCAAAGTAACCATATGTATAGGTCGACCGCGATGTTACACAACACCTTCCAAACAAAGTAACAAACTTTACAAAAGGAATGACAGCAAGGAAGGGTTCTGCAGGGTCTGTTAATACTTCCAGACATGCAGTACATGGTAGATTTTCTTTAAGTTGATTGATTGGGTCAGTTACTAAAGCACGAGCCATTTAAAACGAGATAAATTTCAGAAAGGAACCATTTTACACGTCGAGTTAGTCTGAGCTTCGGCAATGACGCGAAACGAGACCCCACAGCGAGGTTTTATTGTTTTATGATCACATGACTGAACTTTCAGTATTAGTTCTTAGAAGACGAATTCTTGGTAAACTCTTGTTGCTGGTATCAAATTACAATCCTTAGAATAAAACCTCTCTACAAAATAAAACAACTTGTGTAGCGAAGGCCATCCGGAAGAATACTATTTGTAAGTACTATTTCCAGCTTTTTTGACAAGAATTCTGTTCAAAGTAACCATATGTACATATAATGTATAGGTCGACCGCAATGTTGCACGACACCTTCCAAACAAACTTTACAGAACGAGTGACAGCAAGGAAGGGTTCTGGGATCTGTTAATACCTTCAGACATACAGTACACTGTAGATTTTCTTTAATTGATTGATCGGGTCGGTCTCTAAAGCACGAGCCAGTTAAAACGAGATAAATTTCAGGAAAAAATTTACATTTCGAGTTAGTCTGAGCTTTCGGCAATGACGTGAAAAGAGACCCTACAGACTACAGAGAGGTTTTATTGTTTTATAATCACATGACTGAACTTTCAGTATTAGTTCTTAGAAGACGAATTCTTGGTATTATACGTTGATATTGTGTAAATATCAATAGGAACAAATATTCATGGCATAAACTTAACACAGACTTAAATTAATTATGTGCATATATAGTCCATTTATTGTCGTTCAAAATTATGATGGTTATATACCACAAAGAAATGTCGTACGTCAACTAGCGTGCTTCCACACTGTTTATTCTGTAATTCCTTTTGCAGCGAGTATTTCCTGCACTCTCCTCAGGTAGTCTGGGTCCGGATAACCAAACCTGAAATGAAATTTAGAATAAGATGGTTACTTCTGGTTAATAATCTGTAAAATAATCAAGAATGTTTAACTATTTGAATCTCGAAATCTATTTGTTTCCAAAGAGAGTATATGTATTTGAACTAAAACCTACTACGGCAACACCTTAAAGTTGGCGAAGTGTAGAGAATATTATATCAGTCATTGCATAGTTCAAACGTTTTACAGTAGGGGCCAAAACCAAGATTAGAGTCCAGTGTGGGCCACTAGACCCTTTAATTAAGGAAACAAATACGTACTTTGCAGGTCCTCCATATTGTAAAGTTTTGTGAGGAATATCATTCCATACAACACAATTATCCCTTCCCGCTGTTGTTGATCGTCCGATTGTGAACGTCAATTTCTGTTCGAACGCTTTCTTTAAAAGATTAAGAACTTTCTTCCCTTCTTGGTTGTTGGGTAGATAGGCAGTTTGCCTTGTTTCCGGGTATGGTTTGCCAGGATTAGGATGGTCTGGGCCTTGCGTCCCATTTGGAAACCTGTAAGATATAACAATTGTGCCGCACAATCCAAAACCAGGAAGAAGCATTGACTGATAACTCTCATACATCTTTCCTGGAGGTTGATTTCCTATCAAAAGACCATAAACGTGTGAACAAACTGGACACTTCTTCTGATATTTAAATGCTTTATCAATACAGCCAGCACAGAAAGAGTGGCCACATTTAGATAAGGTTTTCTTATCAGTGAAGTCACACAGACAAATTGAACATTTGTCATTCCTGGAACCGGCTTTCTGATCGGTGTTCTTGCTTTGCTCTGAAATGATAGAAATTCTAGATTTCAACTCAGCAGTTCAGTGTTCTAATCCACTCCCTGCCGTTGAAGCTAATGAAGCTAACTGCAAGGACTTGAAATAGCTGTCCAGTCCGAAGTTTTGAATAGATTGTATTGTGTTTTCTTTTCACTCTCGTTCCGATGGCTATCGGTTTTCGTGGGTTATTTTCTCATGTTTCGTGCACAATAGGGTTAAGGATAGGTTTGTGATTATGATCAAAATAAAAAAGAACATATTCGTGCAGGAAACATGGGGATATAACCTTCATGTGCGCATGTCATGTAAAACAGGCAAACATGGAAACGGGGCCGCTGGGGTAAAAGCGCAATAAACAGTAAAGTGTATTAATTTTGATCCAGTCCTTAGATTGAAATAATTTTAATCGAGTGCTACGGCATTAAATGAAATATATTTCACCAGGTATCATGTATCACCTTATTTAAACTTTGCATAATCATGTTTGTGTTATGTTACTCTGAGTGTATATCCACACCGGGCAGGCTTGAAAAATATGCCCGGCCACGGCGGGATTCGAACCTACGACCTTTGGAATACTAGCCCAATGCTCTTCCAACTGAGCTACGCGGTCAGGACGGTTCGAGTATGCGATATTTCGGAACTGGCTAGTTCCTTCGATATCAGTGTAATCTAATAATCATGAAATCTGCTGTGTTGGTGTAATGTACTCAGGTGAATAAGATGTTAACATCTTATTCACCTGAGTACATTACACCAACACAGCAGATTTGCATAATCAGTTATCGTTCAATATCAGCTATCTTTTTTACTATAGAGGATTATACCGCTTGAAAATGCACATATGTTGTTTTGAATACAATGACGTATACCCATGAGGTTTTCTAAACGATTTTGTTGCATACTAAAACACTGAGAAATATTTTATATACTTTTTGGTGGCTCATTACGCAAAGTGTGACGTCAATTTATCTGCGCTGCATAATTATGATCAAGAAAAGTGAATTATCTCACTAAGAAAGCATGTAAATAAAAAATCTGTAAAAGAAGTTACGTTACAGTTTTGACGAATGTTTTTACGATGTATTCTTTCAATGCAACAATAAAAAATGTGTGTCATGTGAAGGTCATGATACACGAAGTAATTTTTGCTGCGACTTAAGCTGGAGTAATACGAGCAACAAAATTGCTGCAACTTGCAACAAAATCTGATTTCAACGTATGTTAAGCAGAAATGTTGACACACATTGTCCCGTGATTTGTAATTTATGTGTAAACATTTTCAATTAACATGTGTAGAAATCAGCAATTTTGTTGCTCGTATTACTCCGCTTTTAACTGCAATCTAACTTCGGACATAGACTACTTGCAAGTGCCTTCGCTCGAAACGTCGAAGTTCTCCCTGTATTTTTCAGGTAGTTGTATCTCTATCAATCTGAAGCTTTCTTATTGCCACTACCTACATTGGCACAGAACGTTCAAGATTATATTTAAAAATAGCTACTAGAAAAACATCCATGCAGCAAGCCCTCGCCTATATTTTCCAAACATTGATTTAACATGAAGTATTAGTAATTGATCAACGCTGAACGCAGGCTCGCATTACGTCAGTGTTGCCATGGCAACACGATACGATAATTTTAAATTAACACTTTTGTACAACACGGCAAAAATAGTTGAAATATTATTGCTTTTAACTATATAACAATGAATTTCCGCAGTGTTGTTCTGGATTTTGTGAGCTTTGATTTAATGTAAAATTTAACCAGAATCGCTTCGTAAAATGTTTTGAAATGTTCATTTTAATAACTAAGCTGCATCTGCCATTTTCTTTTGAAAATTGAAATCATGCTTATCCCACTTCTGCAAGGCAAACAGCCATATTTTTGAGATTAGTGTAAATACCGGGCGGAATTAGTACCCTCGCCCCGGGCTAATCTGTGATGCATTTCACTTCCTAATTAAAACTTGTCATTCTCTTTCAGTTATTTATGCATGTGTGGTATGTCAGGTGATAAAATGTTCGACAGAATGAAATGTGGGGCAATTTCTCAATTTTTCAGTGAATACGTTTTGCCACATGACATGACTCTACGTCAGACGTAAAGTGCACTAAAACTTGCCTTGCTTGCCTGGAACGAGCGACCCATTCAATTCGCGGGACTGACCAAGAATGTAGAATTTTAATTTTTATTTTGTCCAAGAGCACAAAGTGGACTAAAAACACACGCTAGACACCTACAGCACATGTTGAAACTTGTTTGCTCGTCCAGCGCACACAAGGCGACTGCAAGACAAGGCGACCGTAACGATAAGTGACCTTAATTATGGAAAAAACAATTTTTTCGAGTTCATTTCGGAATTGAGTCACCTTACTCCCTAACGTACCTGTCGTCCCTCTAGAAAAACTTCCTCCTGTCGCCCCTTTGGATAAACTACTGGGTGCACTGGTTGTCAAATCACCAACTTTGCTTTTTAAGAACTCCAATGCCCCTTGAACGTTATCTTTCTCACCATAGATCGTTATTTTATCCGAGTCTTGCGCTGAATCGATTACCACAGAAAATTTGGTACGTGCCTCCAAAATGATATCATTTCTCTTCTTTGGAAACATTGGCATAACCTCTTGGTGCATTTTTTTGTTTTGATATTGATAAAAGTCAATGAACTCATCCACAGTTTTGGAAAATATATCTCTGTTCACATTCTTGCGGGCAAAAAATTTCAAATTCTTCGACTCAGTCTTCGACTCAGAAACTTCAAAACTGATTTCTTGAGAAACCTTTTCAAGCTTCTGATACTCTTCATAATGATATGCAATGGTGAAGCGAATAAACAGCGAACTGATAGAAAACGATTCGTCCGGTTCTTTACTTTGCGCTGATTGGTCGGATGGTCTAGTTAGGACACGCGCTGATTGATCAGTTGCTCTTAGTTGGACACTTGATTGGTCACAGCTCTGATCTTCCTAGAGATCAAGTAAGGGCAATTTCTTAATATAACTATGTTACTACAGAAGAAAAACTAGTTAGTTTAAACTTATTAGGTATATCATTTTGGTATATTTAACAATTATACCATGAGCGCGAGTCGTATATTAAACAATTATTGCATGAGGTCGAGTAGGATATGAGGAATTATTAAGACCAAGGTTTGTGTTATGTTTCGAAGGCTGAGGCAAATAACACAAACCTAGAAATGGCTGTATCTTATAGTCAATAAAATTTGATTTTTAGGTACTGTATTTCGAAAAAATTAAACAGTTCTTAGCCAATCAGAATTGAGAAATTTTTTCATGTATTAGTATATTTTTCGGTCATCCACCGTATGGGCTATTCTGCAATCTGACTGGTTGAATTAAGTTTCGAAGGCTGAGGCAAATAACACAAACCTAGAAATGGCTGTATCTTATAGTCAATAAAATTTGATTTTTAGGTACTGTATTTCGAAAAAATTAAACAGTTCTTAGCCAATCAGAATTGAGAAATTTTTTCATGTATTAGTATATTTTTCGGTCATCCACCGTATGGGCTATTCTGCAATCTGACTGGTTGAATTAAGTTTCGAAGGCTGAGGCAAATAACACAAACCTAGAAATGGCTGTATCTTATAGTCAATAAAATTTGATTTTTAGGTACTGTATTTCGAAAAAATTAAACAGTTCTTAGCCAATCAGAATTGAGAAATTTTTTCATGTATTAGTATATTTTTCGGTCATCCACCGTATGGGCTATTCTGCAATCTGACTGGTTGAATTAAGTTTCGAAGGCTGAGGCAAATAACACAAACCTAGAAATGGCTGTATCTTATAGTCAATAAAATTTGATTTTTAGGTACTGTATTTCGAAAAAATTAAACAGTTCTTAGCCAATCAGAATTGAGAAATTTTTTCATGTATTAGTATATTTTTCGGTCATCCACCGTATGGGCTATTCTGCAATCTGACTGGTTGAATTAAGTTTCGAAGGCTGAGGCAAATAACACAAACCTAGAAATGGCTGTATCTTATAGTCAATAAAATTTGATTTTTAGGTACTGTATTTCGAAAAAATTAAACAGTTCTTAGCCAATCAGAATTGAGAAATTTTTTCATGTATTAGTATATTTTTCGGTCATCCACCGTATGGGCTATTCTGCAATCTGACTGGTTGAATTACTCGCCGTATATACGGCGAGTAACGAAAAACAAGATGGAGGCAAAAAAAACTACATACGTTACATATAGAAATTAGTTTAAATACAAGTTTTTAAAATAATTATAATACCGAAACAACAGTGAAAAAAAACATGTTCATGCATGAGAATATAAATTGTTCAGAAACGTTTGCAACGAAAAACAAATGAATTTGCTGCCACTAAGTACTTACTATACTGCCAAACATCTGTACAATAGATCTGAGCTTTTCCGTAAGACATACTGGTTCTAAAACCATTTCTTTCACTTCGAGTTGTATAACAAAAACATATAGGTATTATAATTGTTTCAATTAATGGCTATTTGTAGACTATAGTCTATATTATAAAACAATGATATTGTTTCCTCTATATTATACTTTCCATACTAATAGAATAATAGTATTCAATTATGCTCAGCTCATTTCGATCATATGGTATAATTGTTAAGTATATCATTTAGTCATATCATTTTCAAACTGTTCTCCCAAAAGGTCGTGTAAAATTGATCTCTTATAAGACAATATTACTACAGGAGTACAGTCTGCACAGAAAACCAAGGATTAGTGAAGTCGAATTGTGAACATTTTTGCTACCTTGCATACATTATAAACCATACACTTACTGTCTGAGAGTTCCGCTGTTTGACATATAGTTCTGTTTCATCAATCTTGTTCGTATCACCTACGGCTGTCGAACATATAATAAAATAAAGAATAAATCTTGTTTTGCATGGGCATTACAAGTTAAGCACCTAAAAGTCAAATTACAGTAACAATTTAGATGTCACTCATGAAGTATTAGTAATTGATCAAGACTGAATTGAGGCTCGCATTTTGCCATGGCAACACGATAATTTTAAATTTTATTAATAATACTTTTGTACTTTTCAATTTTTTTGTGAAACGTTTTGCCCCATGACTTATAAACACTATAGTAATCTTCCGGATCTTGTTTTCAAAATTCGTCAGGGGGGGAGGGTGGCATAAAAAAAGGGACCTCTTCGTCTATACTTAGCAAGAACCGCAGAGGGAATGCATAATATGAAATAAAACCCTCTTGGGGAGGCATAGGTGTCGAAAGATCGATAAGTGGGGGGGGACCATATTCATATACTCGTGTTCACAGACCTTAAAAACAATCGATTTCAAAAGAAATTAATAATGCAGAACACGAATATATGAATATGGTCCTCCCACTTATCGATCTTTCGACGCCTATGTGGGGAGGGAGCATTTACATGAACATGGGGGCTCGAGGGGCCTTTGCCCTTTTCTTGAAAAAGGCCCTGTAATCTCCTCATTTTTGTTCTTGTCCCCCAGTTCACCCCTCCATAAATAATGTGCTGTTTTTTACCTCTACCTTTATTCCCTTCATTGACCTCTCCTAAACTGTTTACCAGTCCTCTCAGGATCTATTCGTTTATTGGCTCCTTGCCAGCACAGGCTGCAGTATAGTTCAATTTTGCAACGGGTATAGGTGCTTTGAAATACTCTTCGCGTTTTGTTAGGAGATTATTTGCGTTATCCAGCATCATTTTCTGAGAGGAAATTATTTCTTCTTCTGTGCCTTGGTCAACCAACTTTCTCGAAAGTTGAACAGACGTTTTTATGTTCTCTACGTATAACTTTGTTTCTTCTGCCTGTCTGTCCAAATTCGCTCGTTTGTCTTGGTGAATTTCATCTACTTTTTTACAAAGACTCTCAGCTTTTTGATCCAACATTTCAATGACTTTCTTCGCCACGAATTCTTTTCTTTGTGCAATTTTATTTTTGGCATTTTCAGCATCGCGATCAAGTTGTTGTGTCGTCAGCGTTAATCGTTGAAGAAATACATTCCCTTCAGTTAAAGCGTCTTCCATTGTTTTGCCATTTGAAGCAAGAAGTTTCTTATAGTTCTTCGCGACATCCTTGACGAGAAAACATGAATGACCTTCCTTGATGTGTTTAAAATCCATACAGTCCTTACAAATCAGTTGGTTGCAGGTTTCGCAGTAAACTTTTAATTTCTTGCCCGAATGTTCATTGCAACACATTTTGTCGTTGATTTTCTTGCGATTCTCTGGCTTTGATAACTCTTCCATCGTTAGAACAGAATGACCGTTGTTGGCTCGATAATTGTCGTGGCCAGTCAGACATTCTCGGCACAGGAATTTTTCACAGGTAACGCAACGAGCGACTGAGTAGCTTTGACTACAGTTATGTGAACAAGGAACACCGATTCCACGATCGAGTACGGCCGCTACTTTTACCATGTTACAGATGAAATGGTTCCGTGGCATGTCGGCGACATGTTTGTCGGGATCAAGTATAAATGTCGCACGACAATTTGGACATGGAAACTCTCGAATAAGTCGACCGCGAGGTGCTTTGCCACGACATGTCTGCACAACGCCTTCCAAACAATCTTTACAGAATGAATGAAAGCAAGAAAGGGTTCTGGGGTCTGTTAGTACTTCCAGACATACAGTGCATTGTAGATTTTCTTCAAGTTGATTGATCGGGTCGGTCTCTAAAGCACGAGCCATTTGTAACGACATAAATTTCAGAAAGAAACCATTTTACACGTCGAGGTTTATAGTCTGAGCTTCGGCAATCACGTGAAACGAGACACGACAGAGAGGTTTTATTGTTTTATAATCACATGACCGAACATTCAGTATTAGTTCTTACATAATTAATAGACCTTATAATTTAGGGGCCTTCAATAATTTAGGTGAAGGTCTTGACAGGAATGACGTCAATGACGCGAACGAGATCTATGACCGTGACTGAACTTAGTCAACTTACCAGTCATTCGTATCATTCGATGTCGTTTCTCCGAGACTAATTTAAATGCTTTGACGTTTTGTTTAAACACAATGTTTCGTACACAATTTTAACAATGTTTGAAAAGTTTACTGAACAAAACTGGTCGTATTTAAATAAATTCATTCCAAAGTCTTGGATTATACATACATATAGGTCCCTTGCATAACTTGATGAAAATGACTGAAGAAAATCATGGTATTTTCCCTTCTGGAAAACGAAGCTCCTGCAAACTTGTACAATCTCTTTGCACTTGTTAACGACAAAGATAATGTTCCAACAAGATCATCAATTACGGATTTAAAAGTTCCCAAAGATACTACTGAGTTACTTGAGTTTGGGAAATCAAAATATTTTGTAGTGGGGCAATGTTGTCTAACTTCATCCCAAACCATGCACTTAAGGCCGATGATTCATCAGTAATTCTCGACAATTTCAATCTACAAGACTCTTCAATGTTGTCTAACTCTTTCCCAAACCACTTAAAAAATATCCCTAACAACTCAATGACATAATTTAAAAAATCAGTTAAGCTACTTTGCCTCATGAACGAAATAATTATGCTCTGTACCTAAAAGACTTTGTTGTAAAACATGTAGATATAAATTTATATACCTGAAACTTTATTTGTAACTGTTTTGCATTTTTGCATTGCGCACTTTTACTGCGCACATCTTACAACTTATAATTTCATCCATTATACGTACCGTTTAAAAAATATCATTTTATGACAATTTTATGTTACTTCAAAACATCTTTGGTTACATTCGTGCAAAGAATTACGTTAAAATCAATGTTTTCAAAAAAGGCATACAAAAGTGTAGCTAGGGTTCCCTGCCTTTCCAACGTTTTAATGCCACAATTCTCTAAAAAGATCGGTGACCCCCGTTTTTTAAAAATCATTTCTGGATCATGAAAAAAAAATGCTTTATCAATGCATGTTCTCAAAGAAAGATATGTAAAGAAATGTGGAAAAGACATTTGTGGATCAGAATTGTACACGTTAGTAGTTTCAATTTGCTCAAAAC